TGGCCTTTGCAAGTCTCCTTTTTTCTAACCAGTATCTCCCAGCAGGCATAAGAGCGTTTCCCTGAAACTGAGACTGTTCAGCAGCCTCCTTCAATTCCTCCTCTTGTACTTTGCTGGCCTGGGGGACACACACTACCTGTACTCTAAGCACAAGTGTTGTCTGCAACAGTGAACCAGCTTGCTTTGCTAAAATAAAACAAACCACCCAATTTTTTGCCAAAAAAAAAAAAGCATAATTAGATTTTCACTAATGGATTTTCATTAAGAAAATCTAACTTAAATTTATAGCTCCTCAGAACTTGTTTCCGTGTCTAACTCATCAATATATTCATACCTTGCAAGACAGTACCAGATCTGCAGAGAATGCCCATGTCACTTGCGAACTTACTTATCAGCACCAGAAACACTACTAAGAAATGCCTGGGTTTTTTTTTCTTTCAGCACTTTTCTGTCACCCCATCATTTATGATCCACCATTTTCCTATGTACATAAAACGTGTCAGACCATATCACAGGTTTCTTTGTCACATAAAAACAGATCCAGAATTTTTAAATTAAAGTTACTAGTAACAAACACATGGCTTAACTCATCTGACAAAGCAGCAGTTAATTTTTTTCCATAAGCTCAGAATTTGAATTAACCACAGCATTCATATACCATGACTATTTCAGCACTAGTGAAATTGTAACAGATCTCCAGAGCGAACCAATTGGTGCTCAGAATCTGAAACAAGTATTTGGGAGAAAAGCATCACTTCAGGCTAAATCTTTCCTGGTTCTGAAAACTGAGCTCCCTCCCATGAGCAGCTGTGCATCCTGGGCAGATTTGCTTCAAAGGTGTATTTATAATCCAAGTGAAAACTTCAATACAGGTACACTTAAATAAAAATGGTATTCCTTATTTTTTTGATGATTCTCTTTTCTAGTATTCAAACTGAAGCCCATTCACACCTTAATACAGGTTTTGTAATCTGTAAAAATATAAAAAGAAATGATATTTCAAGAAGTCTAAAAACCTTCAAAATAGGAGGTCAAAGATGTTAGAAGGTTAAAATACCTCCAGTATGGTTAAAATAGCATTTTTATATAATAAAGCCCTTGGATGTGCCTTGAGTAACTCAGTGACTTTGTGTACTAGTCAATCCATCAATAACAACCTGAAGAATATAATGTACATTTTTTCTAGAAGATTATAAATAAATATGAGACACTTTTCCATTAAAGGAGTTACTTGCAAGCATCTTCTTAATGCTATCAGTTTTTCTAATTTGAATTCTATTATTATAGAATCATTAAAATCCAAGCAGACCATTCAGTCTGCATGAAATGGGACATGGGATGGGCCTTTTGTTACACAATTAAGCCTGTTCCTTTCAAGGGTAATGTCACAGAAGGTGGACACTAATTTTACTAATATAGTAAAGGAGGATGAATGATTGTGGGAAGGAAGGAAAGCAAAAGCAAACTAATAAGGACAATGTTAGTTTTTTTGCTGTGAAGTTTGTCATATTTAACTTTCAATTTCTAAATAGTTTATTACAGGGACATCAATTTGCATAAGAAGATCAAAGATTTCATGAAATGACAATGACTGCTCTGCAGCTATAATGTGAACAAAGCAAACACAGTCTTTGCAGATGCCAAATGAACTTTAAGGTAATGATTAAAGACATCTTGCTAATAGCACATGATGTATAAATTACCCCCAACACTAGGTGTCAGAATGCATATGCTACTTCTGAAAATGACTTAAAATGTCTTTGCTCTCTCATATGAAAGCCAGAGTTCCATGCAAATTAAAAAGGAAAGGTCACATCACTCTTTTACTTCACTCTGAAGTACTTCTTTCAGAATACAGCAAATAGTTTTTATCAGATGGGAGAACTAAAAGCACCATAAAATTATAGCTCAAACAAAACAATTTAAATATTTTTGAGAACAGCAGCTCTTAAGAAATTCAAATCACATAGCTAACACCCTTTTCAACATTGCCTTATTTGGCTCAAATTGCTGGTATTTAGTGCTTTAGGAAGCACTAAATACACTATACATGGGTTTCAATTTACTCCAAGTATATTAGTAGCTATAGAAACTGACATCCTCTTTCACAAATTCATGAAAGCCTACATGCAATTTCAACATGTATATTTTTAAAAGCCCACACAATCAGTTTCCCGTCACCCAATACTTTTCTTAGTACTAACAGTCACCCTTTCCATTGCTTCACGTAATATATCAGAATGGAAGCAGAAAGGTTTACTAACCCTAAAGGAAGTACTCTTTAAGAATATTAAGACTGATGCACACTGTTTTGAATAGAAAGTTGTATTTTTTTTGAGTTTCAGAGTTAAAAACAAGTCAGACCAGTCAGACCTCTTTGGTTTCGCTGCCAAAGAAAAGCTCCTTAATTACCCGTTAATGGCCGGTGATTAACTATTGTTTCCCTGATGCTGGCCGCTTGCCAAGAAGACACCAGGACAGACCCTCCAAGGTAAAGAGAATAGGAGTGATGACGTCAGAGCCAGTATGCAGATGAGAAATGCATTGCGCCCTGAATTTATACAGTTTTTATAAGAAAAACCCCTAAAATCACGAGCCAACAAGTGACTTAAGTGACGTCTAAGGATGGGAGCGTAGTCCCGTACCTGCTTGGACCCTTTTTGCTTCTCACCCTCACCTAAAAAGATACTGATTAAAAAGACACCCCGGGGTGTTAGACAAACAAGCTAGGAATCTGCGACTCTCCAGTGAGGACAGAATCCCCAGCTCTGTCTGCAGACCAGCGCACACAGCTGCATCACCCGCCTCGTCCGTGCTCGCCTGGGAGCAGCGGCGGTGTGGGCGTGACCCGTCGATTTCTCCCCACCTGAGCTGATTCTTCTTAATAAAGGCATTAAAAAGGAGAAAGATCTCCTGCCCATTTATTTCACACACCAGGACAAGATAAGCTTTATGAAAAAAGAGATGCAGCCTGTGGATTTTATGCATAGATGCTGATTACTTGCATAATTTTTGGGAAACCTGAGTAATTGAAATAGTTGTCCACTGCAGCTCAGATCAACTGCCAACTAGCACAATCCAAGAGGAAATACTATTCTTTCCATTAATTTTTAGTTAATACGGAGTTTAATTGATACTAACTCAAGTCAACAAACCCGGGGAGGAGTGGACCCACTACATTTCCCCCTGAATAGAAGAAAAACAAAAGGCCTGTGGGAAGTTTGGGTTTTTCCTTTTGTTTTCTTTCTCTCAGATAATTATCTCCCATTTTGTTGCTATGAGACAATAACGACCAGGTACTTAACAGAAAAAAGAAGTTGTCCCGGGAAAGATGCAGTTGACTACTCTCTTATCTGGGGGTTTCTCTCGGAGGGGCAGTGATACCGTAAGAACTGAGGAAGAAATAAAGAGTGCTGAGGCAGCTGCGAGCTCCCTCTTGCTCTCTTGGTTTTGGAAAAAGGTCGGAGCTGCTGCTTGCAGGGGAATTCGCTGCTGCCACCGGAGTGGTAATGGTGGAATGAACAGGAATGCCATTTGGGAGTATGTTTCCAGGGACTAGAAAAATTATTCGGCTATAGTTACAGAAGCCGATGGTTACATTAAACGCTAACTCCATGAAGAGAAAATACAAAATGAAACAAAAAAGGAAGGAATAAGAAACTCTATCTTTAAAGTAATCAACAGAGAATGAAGAATGAATGTTGTTTTACAGATTAGGTGATCTAGTTTATCAGACAATACCTAAGATTATGTGATGATATTTTATACTATCGTTTTACATGTGCTAAAACAGGGCTGCTCTCACATTATGTATGGTCAAAAACCAGAAAAAGCATTACACATTTAAAACAAACACGGTATTAAAGGGAGAGAGAGAAATTTGCAAACAGACTTTCAAACAATTTATTTTGAGTTTGACTACCCCTTATTTGTAGCCTAAACCATTTATATAAAAATAATTACACATCAAAATTAATGTCCTATGCTTTCTTACATGATCTACAATGAATGCAAGCAATAACTTAGGTTCAATGAAGCATCAGTTTGGTAATCAGCAAGATATTAACATAAAACACGTATTTCCAACGTCCCATTCTTAAAATTTTAAATTTATATAGAATAGTTGAGTGCAGATTAAGTGCAATTTTGAGAAAAATAACATGCTTGACTTTCTTAAGATTATTAGTAGGAAAGAACTAGGACCCCGGAGAGTAGGTAACTAATGGTGAAATACAAATTGTCATACTTCCTAAAATTTTGCTGAACACAGGCTTGAAACCAGTCTTGAAAAAACAAATATATCAAGAACAAAAGGCTTATCCATAGGTAAGATGCAAAGATACAAGTGGAATTGGCTTATGGAATTGGCTTAAACTAACAGACAGATACTAACTGCACAACTCCTGGAAGTAGTCAAGGAGACTCTTAAAACACTGATACAGTTTAATACTTAGCCCTTTTTATTTCTATCCTGAAAGACTTCCTGCAATAGCTTCCTGATTAAAAAGTGAATTTTTGTTTTAAATTTTCATTGCTGCTAGACTATCAGTATCTTTTGTTGTGTCTAACTTATTTTTGCAATACAAAATAGGGACAAATTGCAGTTGTCGTAAGTCTTCCAAATTACATGAGACGTTCTCCATTACATAAAATAAGTTTTTTACTTTATAGAAGGAATGGCAATGAACTACTACGTTGAATTACTTAGTAGGAAAATCCAAATGTGAAACCAAAAATAAAAGTATGGTGATACTTGGTAAGAAGTTGAATGCCATTCTTTCAAAATAACAAAAATTAATGGTAAGAATCAGGATGGAGAGTTGTTTTAAGTGAATATACTGCAGAGAGGTGAGAAGTCTGAAACAGATCAGGAACAGACTCCCAAAATCAACAAAAATGAAAAATCTTCAGAGAAGTTCCATAGAAGCTTACTTAAATTATAACAGAAACCCCCCAAAGTTACTGTCTGTTAAATAAAGGTTCTGGAATGTATGCATTACCTTAACAACGGGATTAAGCAGAACAACACTCGACTTCTTTGTAATGACTTGCTTTGTTGTGTAATGATGTTCTATGAGCTGAGGAATAGTTGGAAACCCAGTTCCCTCAAAACGATATTGATTCTGTATGAAGGCAAAAGGAAAAACTTATTTCTCTATAAGCAATAGTCTGAACAAGAAACTGCGAAAGTGCTTGACCAAACCTTCTTCATTAGTAACAACACAGAAAAAACCGTACACTTTTATAGCTATTTTAGATTCCTTTTCTGACCTACTGAATAGCATTTATACTAAATTAACTGGAGTGATAGTTAAGAAAATGATAAATTAATAAATGCAAAATTACTGTATCAGTCATTTAAGGCAATATGATAAAATAACTATTTAAACTCTTAATTTAAATATATAGGCCAGTTAAAATCAAAACTATTACAGAGTGAAAAAACAATATTGTAAACCAGAAAAAACAACACCAACTTCCTATTTATTTCTAAAAATTACAGCAAGCAAACTAAAAAATCTAAATTACAGAATACAAAAAGTGATAAAACAAACAGGAGGTACACAATACTATCCTAATCTCATCTCCTTTCATTTATTGTCTCCTAAAATTAGTAAATCCCTGGCATAGAGTAGAGAATGCATGACTGGTCTTTAAAAAGAGTATCTATCAGGCATGTCTACACGAGCTAGAGACAAAGAAAATTTGGGCAGGACCCTGCAGCTAATTGTGAAATATGATAAAGTCTCCTGCTTTCATAAGTCTCAGCATCTACAGACAGAGTTTTTCCCACAAGGCAGTAGCTGCCATAAGCTGGCCTGACAACGCAACAATGAACAAGTACTGCAATTTTAAAAACTCAGAGCACAGGTAGTGATTAAAGTTCATTTACACAAATGGGCAATGAACACCTCTACCACAGGCATGCCTTCTTTCTAGCTCGAAGGGCTGAATTCCTTGCACGGTGCAGTCTAAGTTCATTGTTTCCTTAAGGGTTAAAGCATTAACTTCCTAAAATGTGTCACTGCTGTTGGTAAAGACAGAAGGCTCTTGTCAGCTTTTTTTAACATTCACAGATGGCTATCATAAAAATGTTTCCATAGTCTGAACGTTTTGTTGTTTGCTAAATAGTGACTCAGGTTAGATTGACCACTAACACTAGTTCCCATCCCTGTCAAGTAAGCTCCTTCATACTTCTGTCCTGATGATGCAAAAAACCTGCCGTACTAAGTAAGACTCTCCTCAGCACAACCACCACTACTGCCTATTATTTCCTCATTCCAGATCCAGCCACTGCCCATCTGCTGCCATTTACGTAAAACCTTTAGAGCAGCCAGTGTCCTTTCATTCTGTGTTTACACCCAATCCTGACCCTAAGATCACTAACAAACAAAAATTTTTCAATGGCACAGCCTCAAATAAGCAGAAGTGAAAACAATGGTAGCCTTGAATGATAGCAATGAATTTTGATGCTTAAAGCTGAATGATTAATTATTTATGAATTAATTTATTAATTTATCACACATACTTGTATCAAGATTAGCTTTTAAAATAATGGTAAAACCAGAGACAGAACACTTATACAACTAAAGGATTGTTGTTAATATAGATGTCCTACTCTAACCTTCAGTACTTGATTCAGAAGAAAGAATGGAAATCTATCAATGATCCAAGAGTGTAGTTTGACCAATCAGAAACCCAATTCCACATTGTTCATACTAATGTAAACAAACAAACAAATCCTTTGTACTAAACTCTCCTTAAACTTGCCTACAAAAATGTCCGTGAATAAATCCCTCACTACATGACCCTTGCATTCCCAACACCTATTTTCTAGAGCTTAATAAGCTTTTTCCTCATTCTCAGAAAATTCACCTCATAGGAATGCATACAGCAGACTGAACATCTTTAAGGAAAAAAAAGTGTTAGCTTTCATGATTGACAAGAAAATCTACTACAAATTAATCCCAAGAGCAGATGAACACAATGCTCTATTACTAAATGTACAAGCAGGTAATCTCGACCTGACAATGCTGGGACTATCCAGGCCATGCAACAGTATCAGTCTTACATTTCAAATTTAACTGCTAAGTACAAAACTATGGAGAGAAAGATAGCTTCTTTTGTTTGTTTTGCTTTGGAGGAAACTTTCCCCCCACCACACACAAAAGAGTTAACTTACAGGTAGGTCCCAAAGTAATAGTTGGAACTTGGACCTGAAAGTCCAACTTATCTTTTTCAAGATCTATTTGCACATATAATGTGCAATATAATGATATATTGCAAATATAATGATTTGCATTAAGTTATTTCAGTTAGACTATGTACATAATGTGCTTTTATTTCTGCTGGGTCAGATCAGGGTGCACCAAGAATCTTGTAAGACTCTAGGTATGGGTAATTTTACTGCTTTTATTTTCTCATTTAGCAGTCTTACATATAAGAATACTTTAAGGCCATACAATCAAAATAAAATAAACATGTGTTCACTTCTACGAAGAAAAATCTAGATGAGAACTAATGAACACTCTCCAGCATGACAAGTGTCTATAATCATTAATCCTAGAGAAGCAACCTCTGTGATGTCTGAAAAATATTACTGCTTCTCAAAAGAAAGTAAACCAGGTACACAATATTGAGTTATCCCGGACATGCTGCATCATCTGGGGATTCAGACAATGAAATTCCCTCAGTATAATATCATTATGCAATTAAATGTGCGAATTTTTCTGTACATGGGAAACTTTATTACAAGAAACTGAAGAGACAGCACTACTGAATCAAAATGGAGAATGATTTGCTGCAATTTCATACTTTAAGAAAAATTTCTAGCAATGGTATGGGAACTGTCACATTCTGAATAAGTTTCAAATTCTGCAAGGTAAAAAGAAAATTTATTCAAGGTAAAATGAAAATACATTAAAAAATCAAGCAAGTCATTAAGAAGAATAAAAAACTCCACACTGTAAAAAGGTAGATAATAATTAATATATTGTTCATCAAGTCATCAATTTTTCCTCAGAGCAAGGTGGGGGTCAATTCTGGTCCTTAGAAGCATACACACTGTGCAACATCCAAAAGTGTTTGTGTTATACTGAACAAAACAATTACCACAGGACTAAAAAGAAAAGAGACATCACAAGTGCAACAGGGACTTCAATTCCCATGTGTATAAAAACCAACACAGATTATTTTCTTCTGCATGGCTGTTTAAATTTTTCAGGAAGATGCAGTGGGATCTTTACAATCTGAATTAGAAATAGCCTAATTTGCACCAGCTATGAAAATGGGTAACCAAATAATCAATAACCAAATGTAAATGCATAAATAAAGAGTAACAATTTCCACATTTGAAAACATCTACAGAAATATCTTGGCTTTTCAGTATAAGACAAAAGATACTGAATAACCTGATACTTCATACTTTTCCTTTGTTTCCCAGAATGGCCTTTACCCCTAATTTCAGCACTGATGGTAATATTTCTAACAGCTTTCATATTTGCACATAAAGGCTAAATCCATTTGCTACAGTAAACTATGTGGATCCTAAATTGAATATTCAGTACTATATCAGAGACGTACATCAGCATATTGTATGATAAAGTGTCTCCGTTGTCCATCTGAAAACACAGAAAGGACATATTCACCAGGTTTCCCGTGGCTCTCTCGCACCAAGAAGTCTCCTTGCTGTTTTAACAGCTCCTGGGCTTCTATTCTTGGAATTGCACCATGATACCAGTCTTGCTCAGCCAATGGTTTCTCAGTGGTTGAGATTACATCAAAGAACTTGGGAAAAATATTGAAGAAAAATGTTACTATAATAGCACACTTTTAGAGTTCACTTGTACATTAAAACAATCACAAACAACAATAATTTCTCTTTTATGTATCAAAATTAGATACATACAAAGATACATACACACAAGATCAAGGCTCTTACACTTCCACAAAAGATTATTGATCACTCTATTTTCTGTTTACCTGAAAAATCAATATATCAAAAGCAGAAGTTTAAGGAATCATCCATAAACCATTCAATATTTTTTATCTGGCTTGTTATTTTTTGTAAGCCATACCGACTAAGTCTTTCTCACACATTCTGACATGCTGTTAACAATTGAAAATTCATAATTTCTCTATCCAGACAGAAACTTCTTAGACGCAAAACCATAATATATTGACTTATACAAATCACCTGAACTGGATAAACTGTTTTCACAGAATTTATCAATTGCATCCCAAATCAATTAATCATTATGAGCCTTTTTTCCTAGCATGTACCCTGTAGTGCAGAGTACACACTTGGGTGTAGTGCTCTCATGAACTCTATAGTAAGACACAAAGATTGCAAGGAATTGTTTTCACTACATGGAATTGGCTGCAAATGAAAGCTACTAGCTGTAAGTGGAAGCTCATGAGTTTTAATCTATGATTTCACACATTAATTTTAACATGCCTACATTATTTTAAAAAACACTTTAGAAAAGTGTTTTTTAAAGAAAAAGAAAACTTTATATTTTGTCACTGACCACTTAATATTTATTTGTTATGGGTAGGAAGGCAATCCTTCATTTAAGCTGTATGTAATTCAAAAGCAATGCCAGAGCTCATAGAAATTCTCACAGGCAGAGTGGTAAAGCTCTGAACAACATGACACAGTGCATGCTGTGAGTAGAACAGGCATGTGAATGTTCCCCAGCCTCCTGAATTGCACCTAGGTAACAGCATAGAGATCTACGTCTCAGTGAAGGACAATCAAACATGCAAGCAAAGCAACACCATTCTGAATTAACCTGTGCTATTGCTCTGCCCTGATAACAACCCAGGCTGGAGGGCATCTGTACATTTAAGTTCCCTCTCAGAAGATACTTCAGTAGTACCTCACCTAGTCCAAAAAATACTAGGAATGGTCTCGGACTCTGAGAGTGGAAATGAGCAGACCAGAGAACAGGAATCTACACAGGAATTCTTGTTTCGAAATATCTGCAATTCTTTAGTGTTTGTATACATTTTTATCAGTTAAAAAAAAATATCATTGTTGGCTTCTGGTTGCCTAAGTTACACCTCAAAGGACCAGTTCAGTCCTTTGTCATGATCCTTGGTCAGGATCTTGATGGAAAACCGGAGAACATATTTAAGAACCTGACAGACCCTTGTCTTCTCAGATATTAACAGACAAAGAGAGCATCATCATGGATGAATCTCTCAGCAAGGAGAATTTCAGACCTGAGATTTGAAACAAGCACTATAACAAATAGGCTGATCACTAGAAAGAGCGTGCTCTGTTACAGAGTCAGAGATAGGAAGTACTATGTAAGAAATAACTACAGCTTGAACAGAAATTGCACAGGGATTTTAGAGGCAAAAGCTGTACTCCAAGGTCAAACGTTTATCAGCACAATGAGCTGCTAAAACGCAGAGATATTGATTGGCCAAGGAGGTAGTCATAACTTTCAATTTCATCAACAGTTAAAAAACATCCCAGGTGAAAACTGCTCACCACTGTTAAATGACATTAGGAGATTTTCTTTCACAAATTTCTAAAAGAAAGAGAAAAGCTTTCAAAATGTTAGACAATGTTATTTACTTAAACATTTATTTCAAATAAATATTTTATGTATTTATTTATTTATTCAAAGATTCTGAGCTTGACTTGAAAGAAAACCTAGACCTCTGTTACGTTCAGAGCAGCAAACCCTTTAACAGGAGCAGATTCCTCCTTGAGAGGGAATGCTTCTAAGGATAAAAGGACAGTATAGGGTTGCTAATCTACTTCATGGCCTTCATGAAAGAAAGTTTTAAAAAAACCAACCTGACATGCAATTTATTTTATAGCTTAGAAACAAAGCCACCAGACTGTAACATCTGCTTATGTACAAACCAGGTGCGACCTGAGGCATCATTCAGACAATCAGTATAAAATCCCCAAACAAAGCATCTTAAGAGCCTTTATGACAGAGAAAGAGTTTATGGAAGGTAAACAGAGCATTTTAGACATAGATAACAATGGCATTGTCTATCACTCTATCACAAATTTTCCCTCTCTTTGAAATTTCATTGAAGTATTACTTATTACTTCAGGAAGAAACAGTGAAAGAAAGAAGTGAAAGAAGTGAAAGAACAGTGAAGAAATTACATGGAGTCTTCCCTGTTGATTGTCCTCCACTTTACCTTACCTTTACTTTTTATCATATCAAGATGGTTTTTCTGATGAAGAAAGCATCAATTGTTCTTGTCTTGAGTGTTATTAAAATCACATTATTTTTATGAACAAGTCTTCTGATTCCAACATATTTCCTCTGTGATATAATATTGACCCTAACTGGCTATAGAATAAAACATGGCTGAAAGGCCAGAAAAAAAGAATACCAATGCAGGATATATATCTACTTTAATATTGATTTCAACTCAGTTTACCACTATTAGTACTAATATTTCTACTACATTTTATAGTTAGAATTAGAAGATAGATTAGTCTTTGAGGAAAACAGAGGAGGGAAGAAAAAGCTACCTGCACAAAATGAAATTTCCACCTCTTTAAACTCTACTTAAATCAGCCAGCAAGTTAATATGACAAGTTTATATTCTAGGCCTTAATGTTTTACAATGTCATTTGGGGAATGGATCTCTTGCTCACTTGTATGTACACTTACAGAAGCACTCAATGATTCAATAGTCTAGAGGAAGAAACATTGCTTCTAGGAGTTTTGTTGTTAATTTTGCTGGAATGTAACAATAATTAACCAAACTGTGCAGAAAAAAGGAACTCACACTAAAAATTTCAACTCTCCCTCTCCCCAACTTTTTGGGTTTTTTTCCTACCTTTAAGATTTCCACTGTCCTTTAAGATTTCCATTTATTGTCATATTTCACTCAGATTATTGGGTGGTGCTGGGGGCGGGGTGTGCTCTTATATATTTTTTAGAAGTGTGAACTTTTTCTTCTAAAAGGAGATGGCCTCATGTATTTCATCATGCTCCTCACGGATCTAGTACTGTCCTCTTTACTTATACTGAGCCCTTTTCTCTCACCCTGCTTAACACTATATTAAAACATATGCTCTTCTCCGAGAGTAAAAAGAAGCAGTCCTCAGCTGCTTCCCTTATTTCAAGAAAAAAACTGATCAAACAGCAGTGTGTTATTTTTAACTCAAAGAAATGTATAATATTCCTGCATGTGCACTAACAATTAAATAAAAATAATAATGGGGATGATATTTTATTACACTAATAACGTGGTCAGTATTGTATTTTTGTATATATTCTGAATGCAAATGTTCAGTAATGCTTTATTTTCCATCTTTAAGCAAAGAAAACATTTTTTCAAGTATTTTTTCTCTCATAGTGTAAAAGAGTAGCACTGACACAAGTGAATGCAAAGCAATAAATTTAAAGTTGATAATTTGAGACAATACCCTATGGAATATGCCGTCTCTGTGTACCTGGCTCATTCCCACATGCTAATAGTACACCATCAGAAACAAGCATTAATTCCACCTATTATCCTATAAACAGTAAAAAAATCCTATAAACAATAGCAGATGTTTGTGTCAAGCTCAAATGTCTAATACAAAAAAAAATATGTAGCACGTCAGAAGCTGGCATTCATGATGCAATTTGTTCAGACTCTTCATTCAGATTATTCACAGCATTTCATGACTGGTACATGAAAGTTACCCCCATGGTTTTGTTTCCTCTCCTCCTTTGATTAAACTTACATCTCTTGCTGTTACAGAAAATTGGCTTTCATTTTGTCCCAAAAAACCTACCTGAATCCTTAGCCCTGTTTCTTTCTCTTCAAATGACACATTTTCCCTATATTAGCTTCTCATTCTGAGAGCATATATAGAATTTCAGTGTCAACACACAAAAACTCCTGCCTACTTTTAGAATGGCAGTTTCCCCATGACTTTTTCCACATGATGTACAAAAAATTAGTTCTCTCCAATTTATACAAACAAAACCCAATTTATCCCACCAATTAAAAATTTCTAAAGTTTTAATATATTTAAAAATTAAATACTTAGAAATACTTTGAAAACTTTAAATGCTTAAAACAAATAATTTGAAAACAGGTAGGTAAGATCACATTTTAGACTAGACTATATGAGAAGATCAGTACTGGTCCTTTTCCAAATCTGCTCTGACATCCTTTTTGTACTGGTCTATCTATTTTAAAGAAATAAATTTTTTTAAATGTATGTTAATATTACTTTATAATACACACTCAATAATAATTTTTAGTATTTTGTTGATGGATAATAAGTTTTAAGTATCAATTTATATATTTAGCAATTAAACATGCTTATGTAGTTGTCAGCAGGAAACAGGTGACCACATTTAATAGCTAAGTACTAATTTGTGAAGCAAATTTGAACTGTATACATATGGTCAGCTTTTCTAACACACACAAAATCACTAAATCAAAACAGAAAGCAAAACTGAAAATTGGCTAGAAATTTATATATTCTAATTCTGAAGTAATTTAGGTGTAATTTAAGCAACAGGTAATCAAGATTGCACTTGTTACTCAGATTTTACTTTCTGGCTCAAATGAACCAATGCCAATCTTACTTCTTCCAAATATATTCCAAGGTTTCACCAATCATATCTACCACAAATCTACAGCCGGATTTACATCAGCTTCCATGGAATGAAATCAGAGTGTGGTACATAGACTATTTAAAATGACACTTTAAGCCAATTAAGATTTTGACATTGACTTTCCCCGATTTAATCTAAGCATTTTATTTTCATCTTCCTCTTGAGATTTTTTTTCTCTTCCAATTTTTCTCTGAAGTAATTTCAGGTAGGTTTTTTTTCTGGGGTTTGCAGATGCTTTTTGGTTTATTTTGAAGTCATAAGCTTTATAATACATAGAAACAGATGAATGCTGTGTCTCACCTACATAAAGACCAGAGGTCACAGAAATACACATTTTAATTGGTTTTTAATACGAAATGCTGATTTTTACCACAACTAGAACTTTAATAAAATGAAGATCACAACAATGTGGAAATTTTGTTTAACATCAAAGATACTTTAATATTTTAGCGAGGTTTTTCTTGTTACATTTCAAATGCCATGCAACTTTCATGTTTGTCAGAGGAAAAGCCTTTGTACCCTAATTTTATCTCATGATTGTATTTATTTTTCTATTCCTTCATCACTATGTACAGTTGTCCTCTGTGTATACATGTATCTTTACACATATGTAATTTTTATCTCTTCCACCCATTCTGAATACTATCTAGCTTAAATATGGTTTGCTGTGTCTGTTAATGGGTCCTTGGATGCAATCCTGCAGCATAAAATAAAAGATGCATTGCTTCTGAAGTTTTCTCAAGAATGCTACTTTGAGCTTGTATTTTAGGTGGCAAGATCACAATTAAAAGGCTATTTTAAACTATTTTAAAAACTTCACCCAACTTTCTTCAAGTTTTTTCTTTTGCTCTGTTTTTGAGTTGTTGTTTTGGTTTGATTTTAAGTTTGGAGCGTTATGGTGACCACATGTTCCACTTCAAGAAAAAGGCAGAAGGTTTTTAAGTACAATCTGATGCATCCACAAGTAGGTGCTTAAGGATTCTACCTAATCTTGCAAGCTACCACATGAAAAAAACAGAAGGAAATACAAAAGTAAAACAAACAAGAACATTTGTCCAGCAATTACAAAATTTTAACAAAAGCTAACTATATCTCAGAGATACTCAACAGCCATTTTTAGTGGGGTTTTAAGCAAGATTACTTAAAGTAAATTAAATAGTACCAGCAGTAGTAGCAATAGTAACAATATGCTTATACATTGAAGCTTTATAAAAAAATATGGTAATACAATTATTGCAACAATTGTACAAATTTGTAAAACACGTGTGTCCATCTAACCTAATACAGATTATTATCTTATAGTGCATTTCAAGAAAATCAGCCTTGTTGGGAAGAATATTCTGAACAATATAGCACCACTCTGGGAGCTGCAAAGAACATACAAACTGATTCTCCTGAAGTGAGACAAGTTGTTCTGACATACCATTGTATCATGATATTATTTTGCATGCTGATCAGTCAGAACAGTGTTTATATGCTAAAATTTTAACGTAATTGTTGTCCATTCAGATGGAAATGCATGCTGTTTCAAGGAAAAAGAAATCTTATTTAAGCTGAAAAAATAACAGAATATATTCCAACACTACAGTATTGGTACTACTTACCGATGATGAACCCAACATGGATTTTGGAGACCTTATAATTCCAGCTATGGAATGACGTATAGTGTCAAATCTTGACACTTTATCCTTCTTGTCCTAGGAGAAAGGCCAGAATCTTTAGTGAAAAAAGCAAATCTATAGGATCACTGATTTATTGGAGAATGTACAATATAGAATACTGAATTTTATGGAAATAAAGGATAGGGGTTGAACTGCTACTGACACAAGCTAGGAAGTGTCAGAATCAACAGGATTAAACAAAATTTAACCACTTACAAATTCTGTATTTCCTAAAATACTTTGTGCAAATACTTCAACTATAAAGAAAACTGAAATTCTTTTATATTCCAATAACAAGAGACTCAACTCTTTCTCCTGAAATACCTCAAATTTTAAAGGGACAATGATTTGAAAATATGTAATAAAACTCCCCACATAGTAAAAACTCTATATATGTGCATTATCCTTACTTAAAGGACATCCTTACTTTCTCTTTTTTAACAGGCCTTTCTCTAACAACAGACTACCTATAAATATTAGCACCCATTGGTGCAAGTAACAGAAGCCATTTCTCTTCTGGCATTACTGTAAACCGTACGTGCCACTGTCACTTCTGACAAGCCATTGTCTGTATTTAAAATTCTGCAAGAATAGGGCTGTGGCTGGAACACAAACAGCCTTTAAGCATCTCTAATTCAGCAGAAGTCAATATAAATTCCAAGGTCTCAAAAGCTGACTTAGTCCGAAGACTATATTTTTCTTCATCTCTTATTATCAGCTCTCAAATAAATAACAACCTTAAAAAAAAAAAGTATTTTAATATGGACAAACTGAGTTTATTACTTGTAAACCACCTTCAGAAACAGCCAAGGTACTTTGAAGCAGAAAAATCACACATTAACAACCTCATTCTAATTTGCTTTACGTTAACTAAACTGTAAAAAACTGATAATGAAGAGAGACTACAACTGTTTGCCAGTGTTACAAAGAAAAATTGCTTTCAAGTTTCCACCTTTGACAGAAGAAATCAAAGACCTCATATTGTAAGAAATGCAGCTTCAGTTTATTCCAGGACTTCCCAACAAGCAATAAATCTGCACATCAAATTTAGCAGTCTCTGAAAATTATTTCCAAATAGAGTTTATTTTGCAAGATACAGGTTAAATGCTCTCTTAGCAAAATAATGCCATTCATTTGGTAGCAGAAGTCTGCAATCTGCCTTAATTTGTACACTAGTGAATAAAAGAGTGCAATAGCCAGCCAAATTGTGAAAACTCTAATAGGGAGTGTATCTGTCACAGAAATACTCATTAACTATGTGTCCACTTACCCATCAATAACATTTTTATACATTTTATCAGACTCAAATATTGTCATATACTAAATAATTTAATTTTAGTAAAATAACTCTGTGCTGAAACCTGATTTTTATTCTTATGATGCTGCTGAAATAAACTGCTTACACCAAAAAAATCCCAAAAAACCCTAAAAAAATCAACCAACAAACCAAAAAAAAAAAAACCACCACAGAAAAACCCAACAACAAAAAAACCAAAGAAACCCAACCAAAAAAACCTCATTAACAACTAAGACACAAATTCTACATTAGCTTGCATGATGGTTGTGGAATAATCCACTCCACACATCTCTTCAGAAGCGAGCCATGACATTTAACACCAATTAAATGTATACTTCTTACGTAACAGGAGAAAATAAGTTACCAAAAGACGCACAAACCCTACTTCCCTTCCCACAACCAAAACTCAAGAGCTCCCTTGCTAGTGGACACTAACAGCATGCTTATCTAGCAACAGCAACAAACTACAAGTAAGGTTCTACATTTACCAATTTCTCATTAACAAAAAATATTAACAAGAAGGAGCTTTTTTGACCCAAAATATCAGACTCAACTTTGATAAGCACCACTGAATGACATACAGAGGCAAACTGTTGCATTAAATAGAGCGAGTATTGAAATCTGCATTTAAGGGATAAACTTTGTTCAAAATGTAGTACATGTCCTGTTCCAACTGCAGCTCTTTTATAAACATTATTTAGCATTTTCACAGTTCTTTCCCCTGACATATTGAAACGAGTCTCTATCTTACAGATATGAAGATTCAGAAATTGCACAGCAGGCGTAATCAAACATATGACAAAACACAACTGTAGCCAGTACTGAGTTTATTTATTCCACTCAAGTATTTTTAGGGCAACCAAGATAACACTAAAGAGATACAACAGCAGTATTCTTGTGACTTTTTTTGCCATTGCCCAGCAGTGTGCCTTAGAAGGAACTACTTCATCTTGCAGGAAACCTGTTTTTCACTCAGAATATTATATAAATCCATATAAAGGGATTTTTTTAATGCACATTAAGTATATATTTTTTTCTAAACTGGTGTAAAACTGCAACACAGAACACCCCAACTACTTTTTAAATGTATGTATTTATGTACATATGTGTGTATTATCTCACTAGTTAAATCAGGGTGTTATTTTAAGTTTGATTTACAAAATAAAAGCAAATACACATCACAGCTATCTTTCAGTGATCTCATCCCAGCCACATCAAATTTTGAACCTCTCAGTCAAGACACTCCCAATTCCACAAAGGATTCAGTAGCTGAAAGGATTATTTCAGAATATTAGGTAATTTAAAATTTCTGAAGGAACCTAGCAGAGAGCAGAGGCACTATTCACTCAGAAAGTCCATTACAATTCTACACAGTGCTCATTCCAACAGACATCATGTCACCAAACAAAACAAACATGCCAAATATGTAGTCATGACAAAAGTTTCAAAGTTGTAAGACATGTGACTGTCAGACTAATTAACCTGAGCTAGACACTGGAAAGGTACTAGGAATCTGCTTCACGGAAGCTATAGAGAGCATTATGAAGTATTACACTTACTAGCACACACAATGCAGCTACTAAAGCATACTAGCTAATTCAGTTTCATTTCCGCTCAAATTAATTGGTTTCAGAGACATCAAGGAAATGGTAGCATGATACCTCAATTCTTATTTTATACAACACCAATTTCACTAGAAAGCAAACTAACCTGTAGATCATAGTATTTTATGCAATAACTGAATTACTACAGAAAAAATTGTACTCTACCATTAAGAAGCTAGGTATGTACGCAAATACAAGCGGTCATTAGAAAACATTTTAACCTATTTCTTTAAGTGTGTTTAAACACACCTGTGTAATGAGAACATATAATAAAAAAATTATGAAAAATGCATGACTGACATTTCCCTTTTTAGGACTAGCCATGTTTTTAACGACTTCCCAGAATTAATTTAAATTAACTATATCATAAACTAGATATAACAGGTAGAGGATATCATCACATTTAATAATGATAGGCTGTGGGAGCCATCCCACTCACACCATTGAGATGCCCAGAGCCTGGGGTAGGGAGGCAGGTCAGCAGGAGAACACCTGAAAGAGCACCAGGGAATTTCAGCCACTCCAGACACAAGGTCCACTTCGTTGGGAGCCCACCAGAATGCCTGTATGCTGACAGTAGACAGCAGGAAAGTAAACAGGAAGAACTGGAGATGTGCTCACACTTTCATGGCTGTAACCTTACTGTTATCACTAAAGCATGGTGGGGCAGCTCCTATGGAGTGTCAGAACAATAGGATGCAAGGCTGCTCAGTTTTCCATCCTTCCTAAGAGGGGAAAAAAATCACTTTAGCTTTTTTCAAGAGATGTCACAACAGAAGACAACCATTCTGACACTCCTAATTTCCTTTCCATTCTTTCTCTTCTCACAAGAGACAGAAAGAAGAAATTAAGCATAAGAACCAAAGCACAGGATTCAGGTCAGTTGAAAACCATGAGTGAAGCACCCGCTATTTTACTTGAGGATTTCCTCAATTGCATATTTATATATTTATATATTTATATATATGGGCTTCTGTGTTTCCTATGTTCTCTTTGGGGGATCTTGTGCAGCGTGAGATCCTGTGTGTTTCAGTGGATTTTTCACTACAATTTATCTTCCATGGTCATGCCCTTTAACTGATACATTTCCGCAGACAGCAAGTCTCTCATTTGCCAAGCACACAGTCCTGTCACTGAGCACAACCACTGCAAATCTTAACAACGTATAAGAAATAAAACAATATACCCAGCCAAGTGACACAATCAAAAAGACAGATCAGATGAGTCATAGTCACAACAGTATTTTCAATGAACATAGGCAAGAAAAAGCAACAGGAAAAAAAGATTTTGCTTAAATTGAACTGTGTGATGTAAAAGCCCAGAAGAGTTTTTTAGCTGTATAAATCCAGGACTAGGGCTGTATTTTAGAGGTTACTATAAAAGAAAAATAGTCTATACTCTTTTTAGAAAAGCAATGAAGTAAAGGGCTGGAGATAGATCTAAGATAAAGATAAAATAGAATTAATGCTTCTGAGAGACAGGTAAATATTAACACTACCAATCAAAGGTGGAAGATTATCAGCAACAGACAAAGGACAATGCAGCATATATTGAATATTCCTAAAACACTAGTCAGCCATGTATGTACAGTGATATAAATAAGCTCATACTCTAATATTATTCCGTTCAAAAAAAAAAATGCCTCATGAGTCAGATGTGAACTGTCCACATGGATACAGAAGTTGAACGTGGGCTTGCAAATTACATCACAAAACCTTCACAGAAAACATAGAGGAAATGTGATGATGACTCTACAAGTCAAAGAGAAAATGCTCTCAAAAGAAAAGGGATTTCAATGAAAAGAACATAATCAGTGATATCTGAAAGATGAGAGTGATAGCACTGATTTTCTAATTTGGGGAGGGAACTGGTCCTCAGATATTTTGATAAAAACTCAGTAGGATACAAGGGCTCTAAGATAAATTTAGACAGGGAAATTTCAGCAGCTACTGCAAACGATATGTTCAATGAACATACAGATGAAACAGGCATCTGCCAGAGTAATCAATACAGTTTTTGCAAAGTGAATGCTAGCTTCCTTTCTTGTTTGAAGATACACATTCCCTGATGAAAAAGGTGCTGAACAACATTAATCTCAAAGCTTTAAATTTAGACAATGGGTAGAACAAGGAATA